TTTTAAAATATTATTTAAAAATATATGCATCTTCTGTGTATAAGTTGAGGTATCTTAGTTATGGTAAATTTGATCATCTTATCACATAGGTAGAAAAGAAAACATTTTGTGGGGAGAGAAAGAGGATGTAAAGAATACTTAAAATACAAGAAAACTTGAACTTTTTATGATGAGATGATGCCAAATAATTGGTGCTTTAAAGAAATAAAAGCTGGGGATTTCCCTGGTGGTCCAGTGGTTAAGACTGTGCTTCCAATGCAGGAGGTGCAGGTTTGATCCCTGGTCAAGCAACTAAGATCCCACATGCTATGTGATACAGCCAAAGACATAAAAGAATAAAAGCTAAAATATGAACACAGAAAATATATAACGTATCATCTAAGACATTTTGGGGGCGTAGTCATGGAAATTCAAATATTGTGAGCAATACATATAAATTTGAAGTATAAAACCTTCTGTCATGCTTGCAGCCTCTGTCTAACAGCATGTCAGGCTGTCAGCGGTATCTCAGCATCCCCCCTTGTAGGCTTAGCACTGTGCTGTGGGCTATGCAAGGTGGAAGAACCCTGAACTCCTGTCTCTGTCTGCAAGGAGTTTCTAACAGCAGATAGACTCAAGATAGGTGTTTTTGCTACCACAGTGAGGACTACAAGGCAGATGGCATGGAGGAGCTGAAATCATTCAGAGAAGTTTCCCATTGTAGGGAGAGGATGTTTGTAATGCTGACAGGATATAAAGATTGACTCCTGAGTGCTTTTATTACTTTTCCATTGAAAAGTCCTTGCAAGAAATTACTTAAAACCTGAGCATTTTAGGCCCAAATTTCCTGTCCCAATTAGATTTATATCAGTGGTTCTTAATTCAAAGTAGTTTTGCCCCCACCCTAGGGACATTTGGCAGCGCCACAGGTATTTATTAGTATAGGTGGGGATGTACAGGACGCCCCCATACACACTCAAATGTTGAAAGTGGTGAATTTGAGAAACCCTTGTCTGCATATCCTGAAGGCACAGTGAAGGGACACTGGGGCTAACCACCTGTCTGTCACTGGTTTTATGCGACCAGTGCCTCCAGGAGTTATGGGGGCTGGGCTAGGATAAGTTAGTGAGAGGCACTGAAGCGGCATGTAATTAATTATTCATTTCTCAGCTGTTCATCTTATTTCAGTTGAAATCAGCCTAAACCAAGTATATAATAAAGGATTACAGACAAAAAAGAGAACTATATGTGAATAAAAGGATATCTTTTTTCACTTGATCCAAGTTTGTGTCATTATATTCAATATTTGTAGTGTCATATTTAGTATTTGTATAGTAAGCATTTAATGCTTCTTTGCTCTTTATGTGATACCTTTGGGCTTAATGGAAATTAAATGGGATGGAGATTTTTAAAAATAGTTTTATTTATTTATGTTTGGCTGTGCTGGATCTTCGTTGCTGTGTGGGCTTTCTTTAGTTGCAGAGAGCAGGGCCTCCTCTCTAGTTGCAGTGCACGGGCTTCTCATTGCAGTGGCTTCTCTCGTTGCGGAGCAGTGGGTGTAGGGCATACAGGCTTTCACTAGGTGGGGTGCCTGGGCTCAGTAGTTGCCGACCCCGGGCTCCAGAGCACAGGCTCAGTAGTTGTGGTAGTTGTAGTTGTGGCTTAGTCTTCCCCTGCATGTGGGATCTTCATGGATCAGGGATCGAACTGTGCCTTCCACTGAGCCACCAGGGAAGCCCTAAAATTGGAATTAATTAGAATCAGAGAGTTCTGAATTTCACATTAAGGTTCTAGTTGTGTGACTTAGAAGAAGTTACCTAATCTCTTTGAGTTATAGTTTACTCTGTTAGAAAAAAAAGATAAAACCTTGATTCATGTTGATATTTGACAGAAACCAATGCAATACTGTAAAGCAGTTGTCCTTAAATTAAAAATAAATAAATTTTAAAAAATTTGTAGAAGATAAATAACAGTGTGCCTTTAGATTTATAAAGAGATATCCAAATAATTTCATATATTTCCACAAGGCTTGAATTTTCCATTTCTAATCTTTATTCTAGATGCTATGGTTTTGTTTCTGACATTTCCTTGAGGAATTCTATGCAGATGACCAGTACTGAATTAGTGTTTTTAGGACCAGAGTTTAATATACTTACTATTCCTTCTAGAAGAATTTAATTTACATCACTTAACAACTTCCCATTTCTGTAGCTCTCAAGTTCCAGAAGAATCAGTTGAGTAGACAGATTTATTCCTTCTTAGTCTGGTATTTTGTGGCATCAGTAAAACCAGAGATGCTAAAGCCAGTTTCAACAGCTATCAGCTAAAAGAATAAATTCTTAACAGGGTTGACATTTCCATGCCCCAAATCCTGGGGAGAAAAATCTGGCAAACAAGACAAGATTTAGGTGATTCTTGCCTGTTAGAACAGTAGTTTTACAGTGGGTGCACATGGGTAGAGTTTTGCTAAACATTGAACTCGGGAAAAATGGAGAGTTTCTTTAAAACCATGGGTGTTTAAAACATCCAGGTTTTTTGAGCAACATTAACGTGCTTTTATAATTGTGAACATTTTTGTCTCCAACTTCCTTAAAATATAAGCAATAGAACATAGTGAACTCATGTTAGTTGGCCAAATTCTCTATTGTTTATAAGAAAATACTGAGCCAGAGTTCTTCCAGCTTTTATTAGCCTGAAACCTGATTATAAATTCATGATCATCTATAGATCTTAAAAGGATTTTGGAATTTTTGGTTCTTATTTTTCTATGAAGTAACTTAAAATACCTAATTCAGAGTTGACTGTCAAGAGAAGCTGAAGAATGCCACTTTACTTCATCAAATCACAAACCTCTAGAGCAGAAAGGGCCTTGACAACCATTCTAGCAACGCTCTTTTTTTTTTTAAACAGATCAGAAAATTGAGACACAGAAAGATTGACTTGTCCAAGGTCACACTTGTAGGTCAAGCCTATTTGACCACTAGCCCTCTCTTCTTCCCACCTATTTTTACTCTCTTCATAATTTTATTCATTATTAGAATGGGACAGTCAGGGGTTTTTTTATTGTGGTGGTGGTTAAACCCACATAGCATTTAATCATTAAAAGTTTTATCTTTAAATAGGCAAACACATGAATATGGAACAAAAGTCAAAAGGTACACAAAGGTTTACAGTATGCAGTGATGAGGCCGACTCCCTTGCTCTCCTGTCCATCCCAGATCCCTTCCTTGGAGGCAGCCACTGTAAAGAATGAGGGATTTTAAATAGAGTGTTTGGGTCTAAATAGTACGTCTAAACTGACATTGTAGTATATCATTCTTCACGGATTGCAGTCTGGCCTGCCAAGTTTAGGTAATGCCCAACAAAGGAAAAACATAAGCCGTGGAATTGGGATGTGGAGAAAATTGTGCACTGATTTGAAAATTACCCAAAGTCCAAGTGATTTCCAGTAATGGAAGTGAAGGCTCCCTTACATCAGTACTCTGTTACTGAGATAATGTCTTTTGTGCAAAGAGCCTGAAGTATTTTTTAAGAATTCTCATGTATCCTCATGACATGTAAAATCCCTGAGTGGTGCATAACTACTTTCAGCTGCTTTAGAATCTGTACCACATTGGCCACAAAAAAGAATTATGTTGATGTTTGAACAAACACCCCCAGGCTCTGTGAAACCATCAGTGTGGGTCATCACATGGATCTGCTTTTCTCAGCCTCTGAGCCGCTGTGGCCTGCCTTGATGAAACCTTCGTGTCTGGTCCTTGGAGGGGGCGTACCCAGGCATCGGGCCTGGAGAATTCCTCACCACGTGGGCAGGTGGCTGAGGGGCGAGGGGAGCTCCAGGAGTACATGTGCACCTTTTGTTGTGGAGCAGGGAAGGCAGCAGGCTCTTGGTACCGCCTGGTGCCTTTGTCGCCTTAAAGCATAGGTGCTGACTCGGGTATCGGTAGGTGCCTGCCCACGTGCTAAGAGGTCAGCCTGGAAAAAGCTGCAGGTCTAGACTCCACGTGCCCCAGTCGGGCTTAACCCAGTTTCCAAGGCAGACCTCCCCAAGTGAAAAGGGGGACGAGTAGCTGCAGGTGCTTATCTTTCTGTGGTGCTCTGTGCGACTTATGACAGGTTTCACCCCAGTAGGGGAGAAGGCCTTGAACGTTCATAGGTTGTTTGAAGAGAGCCGAGGATGGAGCCAGGGAAGCCACAGGGAGGACAGTGGAGGAGGAGGCAATCATCTTTTTGAGAGAGCAGTTCTGTGACTTCTGTGCTGCCGGACTCTTATTAAACTAGGGGTTTCACATCCACTCTCGGGCAGTGGGTTTTTGTTTTGGGGGCTGTTTATTGTTGTTTGGCTTTCCCTCCAGTTTTCCTGATCCTGAGGATTTTCCTGGGCTTCCCTGATGGCTCAGTGATAAAGAATACGCCTGCCAATGCAGGAGGAGATGCTGGTTTGATCTCTGGGTCGGGAAGATCCCCTGGAGAAGAGAATGGCTATCCTCTCCAGTGTTCTTGCCTGGAGAATCCCATGGACAGAGGAGCCTGGTGGGCTACAGTCCATGGGGTCGCAAAGAGTCAGACACCACTAAGTGACTAACACTACCTAATAAATATAAATACTGAAAGTATTGGGAACCTTAACTGAATTAAACAGAACTTAATTTCACGAAAGCATGAATGTTCATTTTCATCTGGTAATGATGCCTTGACATTGATTCTTTTTAATGTTTTTTAATTGTTTAGACACTGAAATATTAGTTCATAGTAGCCATTAAAATATCAGTGCTGTTAATCTTTGCAAGCAGAACTACTGAGCAGCCTTTCGTTATAACGGCCCTGCCAAGTATTTGATCCGGACTAGTACTCTGATTTCAAAGTTATTCAGAATTTAGAGGATTTTGTAATTAATAGTAACTACTTTTTATAGCTAAAACTTTCATAACAAGGAAATAGCTGTTATTTCATCATCACAGTCATTTTAACAGCTTTACATGTAAATAAGACATTTCACTGATTGTATTTTTTCTGTTCAGAGAGGAACCAAGGCCTTAACCTTCTCAGCTCATTGACTGGAGCAAACCATAGCATTGGATCAGCAGAGACCTGCCACTCAGAGGTAAAGATTTTTCCTGGATCTTTTCTCTGCTTTGGCTTTTATTTCTACTCGTCATTATGAATCTCTACACCATTCACCATTTTTTCCTTTCCAATTAAGAAGTGGTAGAGAATATCCAGAATAGATACAAGGAGCCTGCTGCCTGTTAAGAGCAGGCTACATTGGTATTAAAGCAGTAAGCCCTTTCAAGATGTTTACAGTTTGGGCTGTTCCATGTGTTTTTGCTAGAGTGCTTTTAAAAACATGCTAGAATTTCCTTGAGGCTGAAGTTGCCCCCCCAGATCTTCAAATATAAAACAAAAGTAATGGTTCTTGTAAGTACTTCTTATGTACTCTGTGATCTGAGGCAGGTCCTTGTCCTTAACGAGCTTAATAGGCTGACTTCAGCCCTCTGTCCTCAAGGACTCTGGTCCGTGTCCGCCTTGGTCGGCATGCTGGAATCATGAGCACATTATGCAGTGCCACATTGTCTTCCCAGGACCTTCTTCTTCCATCTCTGGGCTGTTTTGTGGTAGGATTGTGTACATTTTCAGGTTTTGAGTAAAACATGATTTGAAACAAAACAAGCAATATGTTTTTAATAGTCAAAAGCAAAATCATAGCACTTGTGTATCCTTGAGGAAAAACACCCCCAGATTAGTGAATCCTTGGCCTTTTTTCACATAATGTGGCCTCGATCCTTCTTCCGTCCCTCCTTGTGTCTAGCTCCTCTTCCTGCCTCTAAAGCTGAGCAGTGCGTGGACTGTGCGCCTCTTTGGAGGTAGCGCGGAAGCAGCCTCCGGTTAGACTGTGGCTTGTGTGTGTCTCTCCACAGCCCTGTGAGCTGGCAGCAGCGAGGACCGAGTCCCTCTCGGACCATCGAGGGGCCGCTTCTGACACGGCAGACGTGCAGGTCAATAGCGCTGTGGGTGAGTGCCGCATGGCTGCCAAGTGAGAGTGCTGTGGGACTGCCAAGCCCACGCATGGGGCAGACATCATCCAGAGGGAAACTGACTTTAGACGGGGGTGAGGGAAGGGCGTCGACCATTGGTACTGTTCAGTTGCTAGGTCGTGTCTGACTCTCTTGCAACCCCATGGACTGTAACCCTCCAGGCTCCATGGGATTTCCCAGGTAAGAGTATTGGAGTGGGTTGCCATTTCCTTCTCCAGGGGATCTTCCGTACCTCGGGATACAACCTTTGTCACCTATAATGGATCCTTTGCCACTGAGCCACCAGGGAAGTCCAGGGACGTCAGTAGTGACCCCCAGATGAATGTGGGCCTTGTGGACGGCTGTCAGAAAAAGCCGGGAGAGTAAATACATTACAGTGCGAATCTGCGGGCACCACCGATTCTCTCAGCAGAATCTGATTGAGATTATCGTAAAGTAGGTAGAACCAGGTAGTGAACAGCTTTATATCTCCATATTCCACCATTTTTCATGGTATTTTACAGCAGTCAGAATTGGTAACAAGAATAATGTAGTTTTATAAGCCCTCTCATATCCTTTTAAAGTTCTTTTATGTCCACATTCTCATTTGGTAATGAAGTTTGGCAGAGAAGTTATTTTTCAAAGATGAAGGTGCAGCCCAGAGCAGTTTAATAACTTGTCCAAGGGCATCGAACAAGAAAGTCTTGGAGCTGAAACTGAAAAGCAGTTTGTCCAAAAAGCTAGAAAACCAGGGTGCTTAGTTGACAATAACTGTAAATGTTCTTTTGTTGGGAAACTACTCACATCACTACTACTTTTAATGCCACGGAGGGCCCATGTGCAATAATAAGTCTTAAAAAAAATTTTTTTTCTGTTCATAAACTAATCCATACAGAAAACTAATTGGTTATGGAAACATATTAAGAAGAAAAAATTGTGTATAACTTAATTTCTCTCCAGTTTATTCAATCTTGTCCTCTCAGTTGAACCCTTTATATTAGCTTTGAGACCTATTAAAGTCCCTGCCATGAGAACAAACCATTGACCACACAGAAGAAGATGGGAAGATAAGAACTAACCTAAAGAACTCGGGGAAATGGTATCCTAACTGGATGCCATAAGCCAGAAACTAAAAGAACTGAACAGAAATCCTACACTCTACTTAACAAATTTGATTCTTACAGGGATATGGGTTTATAATTCTGAAGATAAATATAGTTTACATATATTATGGTTGAAAGAATAAGAAAATATAGCATAGAGAAAGAGAGCTAGGCTTCTCACTGTCAGAGAAAGAAGTTACAAATAAGGAAAGGTGAAGGCTGGGTTGAATCCTTTGGTACTGAACTAGAATTGAAGGTATCAGTATGAACTCTTGGTTTGTTAAAATATAGTTTGAGCAGTGGAGAAATAAATACAGATACGTGTATGCATGTGTGGGCTTCCCAGGTGGCGGCAGTGGGAAAGAACCTGCTTGCCAATGCAGGAGACATAAGAGATCTGAGTTCTATCCCTGGGTCAGGAAGATTCCCTGGAGAAGGGAACGGCAGCCCACTCCAGTATTCTTGCCTGGGAAATCCCAAGGACAGAGGAGCCTGGCTGACTACAGTCCATAAGGTTACAAAGTGTCAGACACAACTGCAGTGACTTAGCACACAACGCAGGCATGCATGTGTAAGTGCACACACACACATACACACATATATTTCCTAGCTCTGTCCACTAGGAGGGTCTAGAAGCAATAATATCTAATAGTGGTGGAGACACTTAGTACTTAGATCTTGGTTTCTAAATACCATTCTCCAAGAAAAGATACCAGGGCTACTTGGAGAAGTGTGTGATTCAGGGCTGGGGCAGGAAGAATGAAGGGTGAACCTGAAGCATCTCATGGTGCCAGAAAGTAAAGTGAAAGTCACTCAGTCGTGTCCAACTCTTTGCAACCCCATGGACTATATAGTCCATGGAATTCTCCAGGCCAGAATACTGGAGTAGGTAGCCTTTCCCTTCTCCAGGGGATCTTCCAAACCCAAGGATCGAACCTAAGTCTCCCACATTGCAGGCAGATTCTTTACCAGCTGAGCCACAGGAGAAGCCCTAGAATTCTGGAGTGGTTAGCCTATCCCTTCTCCAACAAATCTTCCCGACCCAGGAATTGAACCGGGATCTCCTGCATTGCAGGCGGATTCTTTACTAACTGAGCTATGTGGGAAGCCAGAAAGTAAGGAAATGCTCAAAAAAGGATGAGGGCATGTTGAAAGGTCACAGGAACCAACCTGAAAGCATTTCCAATGGCTAACGCTGGAAGATTTTGACAAGCAACAAAAATTAACATTAGTATTAGGCTGTAATCTATAAAATAAAATGTATACCCATGAATCCATACTAATTTAAATAAATAATTGAATAAATACATACCTGGAAAAGAAAGGGCTGCTACTCCTCCTAGAAGAATTCCAGTTGATAAATGTAGACATTATGAGGGAAATAGAAAATCACCCTTAGCCACACTTTACAGTAATAGTCATTGCAGGCAAGATCCACTGATAGATGGTGAAATTAGTAGATGAACATTTGAGAAGAAATACAACATTTCCATAGTCAAAAAATATCTTTTCCAAAGGGAGAATAGTAACCTTATACTGGAAAAACCTGGCAAGTACCCCTTTAAGGGGTGAAGGTTACGTCACCAGTAATGACATATTGACATCTCCTCTCAATATGATGCACTGAAAGGGTACTCATGTCTGTGGTGTTCCTGCCAAAGGTCCATAACCTCAGTCGTAAGAAAACATCAGACAAACCCAAATTAAGGGACATTACACAAAATAACTGGCCAGTACTCTGCAGAAGTGTCAAAACCATGAACGACAAAGACTCAGGAACGATCACGAACGGGAGAAGACTAAGCGGGTCTGACGGCTTAATGCTGTGTAGAGCCCTGAAGTGAATCCTGAAACAGAAAAAAGATACTAGTGGAAAAACTGATGAAGGTTGAGTGAAGTATGTGGTTAGTAGCACTGTTCCACTATTAACTTCTTGATGTTTATACTTGTACATATTTACGTAAGATGTTACCAGTAAGGGGGGGGGGGGGGTGGGGGAATGGCGTATCGGAATGCTCTATACTATTTTTGCAACCTTTTTTGTAAGAGTAAAATTATTTCAGATTTCTTTAAAAAAGGCAAAACCAAACCAGCGAAAGTAAAACACTTTCCCTCCCCCACATCTTCCTCCTCTCTTCACTTATTTCCATTCCCCAGCTCATTCTCATCGAGCTCTTGTTCCCATTTTCCGCTAAAACAGCTCACCAGCAACTTCTGTGCTGCTCGATCTAACTGATGTCCTCCTGTCCCCATCTTGACTTAAGAGGTCGAGGCAGCATTTGGTGTTACGAATCAGTCCCTTTCTGAAGCATTAGCTTCTCTTCACTCAACCAGCACCTCTCCTGGTCGTCTTCCCACCTCTCTGATGATTCCTTCTCTTCCTTTGGAAGAGTACTCTCCCTTACTCAGCCTTTAAATATCTCCATTCCTCAGTGTTCCATCTAAGCTCCTCTTCCAAACCTGTATTTCAGCATGAAGTGATTCTACCATATCCATAGTTCAAATAACATGTATACAGATAAATCACAATTTTTTTGTCTCTAGCCCTGTATAGCAGCTGCCACCACAACACACCCATTGAACGAAAACAAATTTATTAACCAGAAGTATTTTTAACATCAGATAATCTGTATAGTATTGTAGTAGATGCCAAGAGTCATGTTATGCTTGTCTTCAAGGAGCCTAGAGTCTAAACAGTGCAGAGGCGGGCCTTGTAATGTAATGGGTAAAGTCACGGACCGGGCGTTCTGGGCAGCTGGGTTTGACTCCTGACTCTGCCACTAGTAGTGACATGACCTTGAGTAAGTTATTTAGCTTTCCTTAGTTTCCGTAGGGCCTTAGTTTCCCCTTCTGTAACGTAAGGGTAAGAAATCTTTCCTCACAATGCTGTTGCAAAAATGAAATGGAGTTGTGTCAGTTAAAGCACTCAGCAGTGGAGGGAGACAAGGCTGTCTTTCTCTCTTACTGTGGTAAATATTATAGTGGTGGTGGACAGACGTGAGAATACAGAGTAGTGTGTGTCAGTGCCAAGACAGCTCTGTAAACACCAATTGTGGGATGAATCTTAAGGAAGGGGACGTGTGAGTTGGGGTGGTCAGGGAAGACATCCTACAAGTGGCCAGCCTGGAGTGGAGGCTGAGTGAAAATTCTGACTAAAAACAACGTTTGATAAAGAAACCACATGCTGGTGCAGAAATAGTAAAGGATTTGTGGTAAGAAAAGAGGAATTTAGATTGGCTCTGCCTTTGAATAGCTCTAATTTTAGAAGATTTCATTTTTAAACCCAGGTTGCTTCATGTGTAAATTGTGGACCGTGGTATCTGTCCTAACCACCTTATATGGTTGTCAGTAACAGATGTGAAAATAGTTGTTGTCCAGTAAAGTGTGGTATAAATTTCAGGCATTTATTGAATCTGCATATCTCAGTACAGGGTGTGGGCTTTAGAAATTGGAAACACGTAAGTCTGAATCCTGGCTTCCCAGGTGGCTCACCAGTAAAGAATCTGCCTGCCAGTGCAGGAGCTGCAGGAGATGCGGGTTTGATCCTTGGGTTGGGAAGATCCACTGGAAGAGGAAATGGCAACCCATTTCTAGTATTCTTGCCTGGAAAACCCCACGGACAGAGGAGCCTGGCAGGCTGCAGATCGCAGAGTCAGGACCGAGCGTGCACACATGCATCAGTCTGACCCAAGGTCACACTTACTAGCTGTGACCCAGAGTAAGATCACTTCTCTTCTTTCTCTAGTCTTCTCAGGAAAGGTAGAAACAGAATTCTTTGCCCCACTGCAGTTATGTCAAGGATAAACGAGTCCCTGTTCATTTGTGAGGGCTGGCTAGCAGCCAGGCAGGATACAGCACCAGGAGCTGTATAGCTGGCCCGTGCTGGGCCCTCGTTCAGTGGTGACTTGCGTCCAAGCCAGACTCATTGCTGTAGGATTCTGGGTATTTAGCACATACATAAATACTGTGTGGCAAATCCTTATTGCAGATCCCATGTTAGACCTGGACATTCAAGAACTTGCCAGTCTTACTACAGGCGGAGGAGATTTGGAGAACTTTGAAAGACTGTTTTCAAAGTTAAAAGAAATGAAAGGTAATTGGATCCATTGGGTCTTACAGGTTTCGTAGTGATGCTCCTGTCTTATCTAGTACGATTTTACTTTGTAACTGCTAACAGCACTCCATGCTTTGGCCTCATCTGAGAAATGCAGATACTGTGGGACTGTGCCATCCTCTGTGGGTAAAAGTTTCTTTAGGAAAATTCTCCTCTTTTTTCATTCTTTTTCTTTTTCCTTTCCCTTCTTCTCTTGCCTGTTTCTTTCAGTCTGTCTCATTAACATGGAGTCAGTAAGATCCCTACCAGTTTACTCACATCATTCCCATCTGGAGGGTTTGGAAGACTTAAACTATCTAACAGCTGTAATGACGCCACCATAAACATGTGTTTTCGCAACCCATCTCCCATCTTCTAGTGTTAGAACATCTATGCACTCCAGATTCTCCTGTGCGATTAGATGAATTTCTTAAGATATATTTTCCCCCTAGACAAGGCTGCGACGCTTCCTCACGAGCAAAGAAAGATGCATGCAGAAAAGGTGAGAAAATTAGTCAGGTATTTACATACTTACTGCAGGTCCAGTGCTGTAAGAATTATATGTCACACTTGTTTACTTCTAAAGTGTCTTACTGTGAAGTTTCTGTTGGATATTCACTTATGATTAATTGAATATTTAGTTGCTGCCATCAGGCCAGGATTTTCCAATGTATGTTGAGCGACGTGGAACATTGAAGCTCAGAATGTTTGCCTTCCTAGCTGTTAGGCTGGAAAACTCTTGAGTTATTTTGTTTGGGTTGGTTTGGTTATTACCAACACATGTTCTTGGCAAGAAATGTATATGGTTTATGGTATCCCATTGTAGGACTGTGTCATAACTTACTTATCCACTTCCCCTTTGCACATTTCAGTCATGTGCCTTTTTTTTTGTAGTGAAGTTCATATCCCTGTACGTCTCCTATGTATACAGTTCTGATTATATCCTTAGTATAAAGTCTAGGAATAGAAGTCGTGGATCAGGGTGCTCAGGGGTTTTGATAAATGTTCCCAGAGCACTGAAGGGCGCGGTGTAGAATTTTAAGTCTTAATCAGTTCTGTGTGTGACATGAAATGAGCTGAAGTTTAGGTGTTCCCTAAAATCTGTTGCTTGCTTCTCTCCACAGGTGGCCAAAGCCTTCTGGATGGCAATTGGGGGAGACAGAGATGAAATTGAAGGCCTTTCTTCTGATGAAGAGCACTAAACCATTCATGCTAGGGCTGGCCTAACTAAGACCCTAGTGCGCTCTCCCTGAGATTCTTCTCTCTTCAACCCAGTCATCTTTTGCTGAGCTTACCAGCATTGTGTTGGCTGCCTGACTTGTTTATAGGGTCCCATTAATTTTAGTTTTTAGTAGAGGGTAAAGCAGAAGTCTCTTCTCCCTCAGTATATTGTAAGGGAGTGAGAAATTTTCAAATAACATTTTTTTTTTGTTCTAGGAACGGGAGTGGGGTAAGCCTCAAAGGCCTGTGTGATTTGCGCTAGTTAAAGAAGAAAACCAGCTTTTAAAGAAAACCACCCAGCTTTCCTGGTCAGTCTTTTGAGGAGCATTCCCTGTGTTCATGTTGATCGCTGCAGATCAGGAGTTTTCTGGTTTTCTCTTTGAAGGAGCTTGCTGCTGGAGGTTTGATGCTTTTGGTGGGAGGAAAGGAAGAAACTGCAGGTTTAATCTGTGATGTAGTACAGATTATGGGTCAGCCACTGGCCCTCGGGTTAGTCTCTAGCTTAAAAAAAAAGCATCTGGGCATTTCATTTGAAATACAGTAATCTGACCTCTTGGTAGAAAGTATTGAGAAACCAGGGTGAATTTTTAGACTATAATAAATGATGCAAAGGTTTTCTACTCTGGTGGGGATAAAAATAAACCCTTCTCTACCAAATTGTGGGCAGGGGTGGGGGTAGGACATGGGTAAGAGAAACTGGCCCTGTATAGGCCATTGAATCAGTATGATCCTAGCCTGAGACTTTTGCATTAGTATTACCATGTAGAAACTTTTCTTTCTTAGAGTTTGCTACTTGAGATGGCAGAGATGTGTTGTCACAGTTGATACCCTCAGAACAAGGGGAGTTTCCTCTTCTTTCTCTGAATGCCAGAGATCACTGCCCGAAAGTAACACTTAAGTGGGACTTGGTGGGAAGGCATGCAGAACGCTAGGCAATGAATCCCTCAGTACCTGTGTTACTTCCAGGGCTGAGGAGTTTGGGCTGCAGGGACACTGATCTCCACGGGGGAAAGTTCCCAGAAGAGTGGGAAATGCAGAAATGAAACCCTTATTTCTGTCTGTTTAGGGACTGCGTAATGCACGTCATGAGCCTTCAGCCTGCCGTGGCTCCCAGCTGTCTCAGGGCACACGGGCTGAGACCTGCTACTGGCCTGGTGTGGGTGTGAACCCCATAGGTCACCAGCAGAAACAAATTTCAGACCTGTCTGTGCAACACCTTTTCAGCACTGCGGAACCTGCTACAGAAGGCAGAAGGAACGGAATGCTCCAGGGTCCTGGCCAGAGCGGCCACAGGATGGAAGGTTTCAGTGAGTGGGGTGTTCAGAGAGAGCCATTCGAGGGAACATTGGCGGCCGTCTTCCTTGATAACTTTTTTCTTTTTCTTTAACTATTCTGAGGGTCTTTGAGACTATAGTTTACCACTATTCCAGCACTGTTTCTTTGAGGTGACTGCGTTGGCCATTGAGGGGGAGTGTAAGGAAAGTCAGCTCTGGGGCTGCAAAGTGAAAGGTGGAGCAAGTTTTTCTTAAAATCTGAAAGGTTTCAGAGAACACACTAGGTCACATGGTTTGGGAAAACAGACTATAAAAAGCTGTGAACTTGATCTTGTGGATTAAACAAAGCCAGGTGATTAAAATGTGATTTATTTGTAAACCCTGCTTATGTGTATTTTTGTGATTTTGTTGTTTTTTAGTAGAGGATGTGGGCGGGGGCAGGGGGGAGCCTTCCTTCATTGGATTAGACATAAATAGCAATAATCTGTTCGTCAAACTCAGTGTTTTAAATCTACCATTCATGTGTATAATACCATGTTTTCAGGGTCTCAGCTATCTAGGGGTATTGGCCCCTTCTGGGTGACATGTGAGATTAAAGTGTACAGTAGTAACTACTAAAGGCCCTTATAAGAAGCATGATTATGAGCTAATAGTGCAACAGAAATTGTAGACTCTCCAAAGTGACCTATGTACATGCCACCACAAGTTATTATGGACTGTCCATCTGGGGTTTAAAACAAGAGCCTCGGCTTTTTTCCCCCTTAAACATTTTTCTATTTGTGTAACACAGCATCTGGCACAAACTGGGCCCTTAAGTTTGGTTTGGATTTTCATTTGATTTTTTGATGGCTATGATTGCAAAGTTTTAACGTCTGTGAGTGTTGGGAGGTAGGGAGAGACAAGAATAAACTTTTTTTTCCTGAGAAAATTGTATATTATGTAATAATTTTAGAGTGATGAAGACATAGATATTTTTATAATTTTAAAATATGTTATCCTGCCAGAATATGAGAAGATTGACAGAACCATGTCTGCTTTCTGTCTATTTATAGAACTTGGCCACATCTAGTTCAGAGAAGCAGGAGATTCAGGGAAGCTAGACTTAGATGGCTGGGTAATATGGGATGTGGTTCAAGGACCATAGAGCATGTCAGGCCATTACTGCAAACTGCTTGTAACATGGGAAATGTGATCTACAGCTAACTTCGTGTTCCCGCCGTGGAGAACTGGGGATAAATGGTTTTGCTGTGGCCCATCAGGTTCTCTCTACCTTGGGCCAGTCTCTTAACAATGGTCATTAAGAGAGCACGTGGTGTACCCCTTGGCCTGCCTTGGCTTGCTGTGAAAAAACAGTCTTAGAAGAATCACTGTCTAAGGGTAAGATGAGAGCTCCCTGAGCTATTCTGAGCTGAAGTGTTTGCTGATGCAAAGCTAAATTTAGCCAACATCTGTCCAGTGTGGTCAGAAGTTTGATTCATTGAACATTCTGATTGATGGAGACAGTGCCAGGGAATGCTGGATGAGTTAAGAGTCACCCTTCTTCCCCTCTCCCCCCCCCAAAAAAAACTTTTAAAACAGAGGAGACAATTTAGCTACAGCCTTCTATCATTAAATACCCATCTTATAGAGGACTGTAGGCAGAGAAAATGTGAAAAATCAGGTCAGGTGTAATCCTGCATCCCTTAGTGCAGGATTGGTTTAAAAACAATTAACTTGCCCATAATTTGTGTGTTCCTGAAAGCATCATGCTGACTGTGCAGGGCAAAGTTCTAGTTTTCTTTTTTTTTTTTAAGTTCTGGTTTTGATTTAAATTCCACTTGGGGTTTAGGTTAGTGATTTATCCTTGGACCTTTGGACTGTGAGCTCTTGCAGAAGGGGTCTTAGAAATATTCTAAGTTATATTTTATGCCTGTTTTTAACATCACCAGTCTTGCTCTTAATCTGGGTGTCTTTATTCAGGGTTAAGTGTGTGTAATAGCTCTTCTAATATAGGAAGTATCTTTCTTGATTCTGAGGTGTTTCTCTGATTGGCACAATGAAGAATTGAAAAGAGGTAATAGCAACAGTGTGATCTTTTTGTTGGAACACTGATGAGAACTGGTCTGGTTCTTAAATAAGTGCTATTCTACTGTGTTTCCTGTTGGAAAAGTATTGATTCAAAAACTGGACCTAATGGTTACAACTAACTGCATCTTTGGAAAACAGGTTTGGGAAGAAAAAAAATTTCTTTTTCCTCTGAGGTCCTTTTTCATGTGTGTTTGTGTTGATAGGCTTAAATAGTTGAGCCTCACAGCTGCAAATCTGGGAAGAATACCTGGGTCACAGAAAGCCTCCCAGGTTCTCTCCTGTGAAGCATGTGGCCTACCCCTGCCTCTCTTCCTTTCATTGACCAGGTGGCTTTGATGGTCCAAAGTGTGGGCTGAATGAGGCTTGAGGTAGGAACTTTGTGGAAACAGCAGCATAATTTAGGAGAGAGGAGTTTCTTCTTCTGAAGCCCCAAGACATGGTCTGCATCAATCCTGTTGCTCCAGGAAAGTCTCAGGAAGTCATTAATGGTTTTAGAAGGCCTCAGACCTGACGTTAAGGACGAGCAACTACCACCTGTTCCTTTATCCTGGTGAGAGCTGAAACGAGGCCTCAGTGCAGCCAGCACTGCCTGGGACCCTTCTCGGTGCCAAGACTGCTCTGGCCATGGCTGAGGCTACAGATGTCGGTAAGGATCTGGGCTCTCCTCTGACAGCTCGTTGTCTGACTCAGGAGGGGGACGGGGCGAGCCAATTGAGGCCACAAAAGATCGAACGCTGGGCAGAACGTGAAGTGCGCTGTTCCCAGCCTTGACTGCTGTGGGGAGAGCACCCAGCGGGGTGGGAAGAGCATAATGTACACCTTCGAGCAGCGAGTCTGTCTTGAGCCCACGTCAGAATCACCTGGAGGGCCCCACTCCAGGATTTCTGATTCAGTAGGCCTGGGGTGGGACCTGGGAATGGGGGTTTCTAACATCCCAGATGATACTGATGCTGCTGGCCAGGGGCTGCACTTTGAGACCTGTTGACTCTGAGGAAGCTTGAATTGAGCTATTGGGCTAAGAATCGGGGTAGATACGTGGGTGAGGTTGCAGAATTCTCAGCGGAAGCTGCAGCATGAATAAAGGTGTAGAGATAAGCAAGGGGTGATGTTGGGGAAACCCCTGTTGTACAGCTAGAGAAGGGGGTGGTAGATGAGGATGAAGTGATGTTGAGAACCTTGGAGTACTGCTGTGTGCTTACTCAGGAGATCATCAGGGAACGAACGGGTTTAGGGCAGAAAAGACATGTAACTGTAATTCCAAGAATATCTGGCAGCAGTACTAGCCAACACCAGTTGATTACCAGTCTGCCTAGAAAGCTCTGTTGAGGATTCTGAAGCTGAGAATGGACTTAGCACTGTGATGAGTGCTTTGCATGGATAGAGAAATAGCAAATGCTGGTGATTTTGCCCTGTCTTTGCCATTGCTGGGTGATGGCAGATTAGGGTGACAGATTAGGAGAGTACTGGAATAACTGTGATGAAAGGTAATCAGAACTCTGGGTGGTATTCCTTCAACCATATATAAGGACTTGTATAGGGCAGTAGGACTTCCCAGGCGGCACTAATGGTACACAACCCGCCTGCCAGTTTAGCAGATGTGAGAGTCAAGGGTTTGATCCCTGGGTCAGGAAGATCCCCTG